ACAGTCTTAAAAATTCCCACCACAGTGCAGTTTCCACCATATATCAAATTATATATTCCCTTTTTTATAATTTGGTAGAATTTACATTTTAAACATTAAAAAAATATATAAAACTTTTCCCTAAGGCTAATTTCTAGAGTTTTATGTATCCTAATACACGATTGAGTACACATTTTACATAACATTACAGTTTGATTGGAAACCATACACAAGTCGTCTTCTCACATTTTTTATTTATGTATACATTTCAAACATACACTTCACTGACTGATTGCTGAACAAGAACACTAAATTGGAAAAAAACATTTGAGGCAAAATTTTTCAGTGTAATGCAAATGACACTGGAAGTGAAAACTGGGTCTTAAAAAAAAGATTTTTTCACACAAAGATTTATCATAGTTTATTATTATGTATTTTTATAATTAAAGATTGAATGTCTGATTAGGACAAGGGTAAAACAATCAAATGTATTCATAGAATATTTAGAAAAATAACAAATAGAATAAAGCATGATTTAAAAAAAAACATTTTTTTAAGTGTTAAAATCTGTTAGTTTTAATAAATATCAAGCCCTGAGATACTTGATTAAATTATTCTTCTTAACATTTGTTAAAACACTCTTCCATCTGTACCTGGCAGTGCATTTGTTAATGCTAGACGTAATCAATCTAGACGTAATCCATTAATCGGTTTCTTGGCAAGATACTCAAGTTATTTTGTCTCCGCCCATTCTCACTCAGGCTCATGAGCGATTGGAGGATGTTAAGCTGGAGGCGGTGCAAAGTAATAACGTGGAGCTAGTGAGTGAGATCCTGTCTGATATGAGCAGTCTGATCACTCAGGATGAAAGTGCAGCAGAACTCTGTAAGATCCTGAAGGAACCCCACTTCCAGGTACCAAACCTCTGTGTGTGTGTGTGTGTGTGTGTCTGTCTGACTGCCTCTTACATGACATTATGTTGACTGCTTACTTACAACTATTTATTCATCCGGTTGCTGTCTTGGTAGTAAAGAAGCAAAATCACCTCTAAACACTTGAGAAATTGGACAAATGAGTTGTTGTTTTTTTTAAAGGAAGATAATTCATTTGGTAATTTGTTTATTCTCTAAACATGAATTGAATCCTCTTGGTATTTTCAGTCCCTGTTAGAAGCTCACGACAAGGTGGCCTCTAAGTCATATGAAGCTCCTCCCACCAGCACCAATTCCACCAGCATGACCAGCTCATCCCTCATGTCGGCTGACACTGTTCGCATGATCAGCATCCAGAAGAAGGCCGGAGAGCCTCTGGTGAGTGACAGATGTTCTCAGTCTCACAGGATTAGATCCCACAGTCGGTCAGATCTTTAGCTCTGTAGAGTCCCTCTACTCACAGCTTGTGTTTCAAATCCATGCGGTTCGTCTGCGTTGGAAAGTTTGTCTGCATTAACAAGATCTAGGCTTACTTGTTAAATTAGACCTTCATATACAACGAAGATCTAAGGCCAACCAGTCTCGAGGAGATCTATAGTGATTTAACACCTAGTAAAATAAAATGTCATTATGTCTCTGCCAAGGTCAGAAATTCACCAGGGTGCTGGTTAAAAAGGCCACTGAAAACCACCTTTATTTATTCATTTATTGCATATTTCATTATATTATATTATATTAAAAGCCACTGAAAATAACATTTAGGGATATTTAGATATTTTAATATATGATTTTATATAAAGTGTCACTGAAAGAAAGAAATGTTATTTTCACTGGCTTTTAATATAATTGATAATATAATGCAATATACATTAAATGAATGAATAAGTAATGTTATTTTTAGTGACTTTTTTAATTAGATAATATAATCCAATAAATAATGTAATTTTTCAGTGGCTTTTACATATTACATTATATATAATAGAAAATATAATACAGTATCCCTTAAATAATTAAAATGACATTTAAATAAAATTTAAAAGTTTAATTAAATTAGTTTTAGATTAAAATTGTAATTGTATTTAAATGCTATTTTAATTATTAAATGGGATATTGTATTATTATTATTTGTTATATTAAAAGCCACTAAATTATTATTTTTTTTTATGAAAAGAGATTGTATCATGTTTATTAAAGGCCACTGAAAATAACATTTATTCATTTTGGTATATTATATTATATTATTATGCCCTATAAAGTAAAAACAGAAAAAAAAGTTTTTCAAATATCATCCCTTTATAAAAAGTATGTCTGACTATTTGTGCTGACATCTGAGATTCATGGTGTCGTCTCTTTTAGGGTGTAACATTCCGGGTGGAGGACGGCGACCTTGTCATCGCGCGTGTTATGCACGGAAGCATGATTGACAGACAGGGGATGCTGCACGCAGGTGATGTCATCCGAGAGGTGAACGGCCGAGAGGTGGGCAAAGATCCCATGGCGTTACAGCACATGCTAAGGGACTGCAATGGAAGCATCACACTCAAAATCCTGCCCAGCTACAGGGACACGCCTCCACCCGCACAGGTCAGCACACCACTGATTCACAGCAAACCCAGTGAAATTAAATGACACCAAAATCTAAAATATTCATCAACATTTTACAGACCAAAAATATTCACACCAAGTTAATGACAGAATTTGTTTAATTTTTATTAGATTAATTGTAATAAATACAAATTGAATATACCTAAATTAATTATTTTGTATGTGAACAGTTAAATTAATCAGTCTAACCTCCAAACAGGAGTTTTTCATTCAAATTCAGATTTTGTGTACTCAATCACTTTTTATTTGTTACATGGCTGGTTTTGTGCAGTCCTTTTTGATATATGGAACCGGGTTTCAGTAACTGAAATGCTCTAGTGTCATCTATTTAGTCAGACATGATTAATTTATTCCACAATCAAATGTGTCCAGTAAAAGAGAGGAAACTTAGAAAAGTGAGCATTTAAAAGGGACATCAGATGAAATGTAAACTTTTTTGCATTTATTTAGGTTTCTGGCATTTCTGCCAGCTCAGAAAAGCTGAAAAGAAAACATGCAGCCAGTTTAGCGAGCGGTTTCAATTTGCAGTTTGATAGCAATTCTATATAGATAGCTAGCTATTTGAATAAGACCACCTCCGAGCCATATACGGATATATTCATTAAAGGTAGGGTATGTAATTTTTCAAAAACACTTTAGAAAACTGATTCGGGCCGAATAGCAAAACAAACTTGTAGCCAATTAGCAATAAGGGGCGTGTTTACTCGTGATGTGGAGGAGAGAGCTTTCAGTGCATGGGCAAAAGATAGAGATGGCGGATAAAAAAACAAAAGAGGAAAACATCTGCGGAACGATAAGGCAAGAAGTAGGACCCGTGTATATATTGGATCAGCTTTCCAGCGCTGGAGAGAACTCAAGGAGCGGAGGCCTGTGATCGGACGCCGAGGTTGCTTTGTTTCTTCTCAATAGGTGTGTAACACAGTGTCTACAAGAGCTAAAGTCTGCCTACACTGGACGCGATCAAACCACCTTTGAAAACCATTTGAAATTTGTCTCAGCATGTCATAAATCGAACCCGGCAGCAGTTTTCTGTCGGGGATTTGTTGCGCCGTGCCGCTCATGTCTGATGTAGACATGGTGTAACATTGGTTTTGCTTTTTCACGTAACTAATCGCTGCCTGGGATGTGGGGCGGAGCTATCAAAATAGGGGCAAGACCCTTTTGGGGTAGGGGCGTGTTTGTTTTGGTGTAGGGCTGAACAATTTTGGAAAATCTAATTGCGATTTTTTTTTTTTTTTTACCAATATTGAGATTGCGATTTAATATGCAATTATTTTTTAAAGCTCTTTATGTTCTGTATTATTCAACAAAGACAAGAAAAATCATTGTATAGTATGCCCAACACACTATTAGATAGATTAAACATAAATGTTCTTTTCTGTAGGCCAGGCCTATATGTTACGATGAAATTAGGTGATGCATAAATTGATATGAATGACAGTGTCTACACCGGACGCGAGTGGCAAAATACAGTAGAAACCATTATAACCAGTGACGCTGTCTTCACTGGATGCGACGCGACAGAACAAGGCATCAGTTTAATGTCGGGTTTTTTCTTATGTCGTACTGACACAAAGTTATTATTATTATATGCCTCGTCATATTTTCTGCATTTAGCTTTTAAATGACCAGCACCTGCCTGGGTCTGTGCGACTTCATCTATGGCTTTTCTCTTCCCTTTCACAAACCGATCCATCTCCCATTCTAAGTTACGGCCTTTGGCTGTTTTCCGTTTTATTTCTTTTCTTTTTCTGCTGATGGCCCGAGCTCGACTTGAAGCAGCGCTGCTTAGACTGATGGGTGTATGACATTGAAGTACTGCGAGAGCTATAAGAGAGCACGGACGTCTCCTTATGCTTTCTCTCGCCGTACTTTGATGTCATACACCGATCTGATCTTCAAGTCGAACACACTTCTTTACTCTTGCATGTCACGTGATATTATCACAAATGCAATTAATCGTTCAGCCCTATTTTGGTGATTTCAAATATCAACATTGGCTACCAGAAATCGCTTACCCTGGCTTTAAGACAAGACAAGTGAAGAGAGGGGTGGGGTGAGCAGTAGCTCATTATCATTTAAAGAGACATGCACCAAAATGGCTCACTCTGAACAGAGCTGTTTGTTTTACACGACAATTGAGGAATTTTAACCAAAGTATGTTGCAGACATTTCATGAAGACCCTAAAGAATCATACCAACTTGAAAAATGGGAATCTGATTTCCCCTTTAATGCTACTGATATGACTGGACACTAAATAAGTGAACATGACTAATATAATATATTTTCAAAAGTACTATTTTTCTTTGAGATTGGATTGGTAAGGATTTGATGAAGAAGATCATCCTAATCATCTGAACTGCTAGTATCTTTCCTAATAATCAGATGCTGAGAGTAGAAAACAATCTTGTCCCATAGTCCTGTTATTAGTGCTGTATAACCTCCTGATGGCTTATGGGTTCATACAGTCCTTGAGGAGGAAAAAGGAGAGACCTGTCCTCTGGGTGACTCGGAATGCAATCGGGCTGAAACAGAGCATGGTTATCCCTATTAATAACACGACCTGTGCTAAGTAGGGCAGATGGGAGGCGTTGAATGCATGCACTCCCTTAGTTTCTACTCTAAGGAGATCTGGGCCTGGAAAGAAATAGATCCTCAAATTACTTTATAATTAGAAAAAAATGATTAGAGAGAAAAAAAAAAGCTAGTGTTAGTAAAGTGTTTTGTACCACAATGAGTCATAATCGGGACATATAGGACTATAATGTACAACATATATGGTACAAAGAAATCGCACAAGTTAAAGGGTTAATTCTGTCATTAATTACTCACCCTCTTGTTGTTCCAAACCTGTAAGACCTTCGTTCATCTTTTCTTTGCACAAAAAAGTATTCTCGTAGCTTCGTAACTTTACAGTTGAACCACTGATGTCACACGGACTACTTTGTCGATCATCTTGGTACTTTTCTGGACCTTGAATGTGGTAGTTACCTTGCTGTCTATGGGAGGGTCAGAGAGCCCTCAGATTTCATCAAAAATATCTTAAATTGTGTTCCGAAGATGAACGAAGGTCTTACGGGTTTCGAACAACACGAGGGTGAGTAATTAATGACACAGTTTTCATTTTTGGGTAAACTAACCCTTTAAGCAGGTTTCACAGGTCCACATGAATACAACTGGTTCAAATCCTGATCCAAACACGTTTAGGTCCTCAAACAGTGCTGCTGCACATCAACCCTGTTACCATTTTCCCACTCTCTGAGAGCATACTTCTAAGCAAGTATGTCCTTTACCTACTTTCCTTGAATAAATACGGTTTAAAAACCTCGCACTAGAGCAAACACTGGGGGCGAGGGTTTACAGGCATCCATTACTTGTGCCAACCCTAAATTTCTGTCTTTTTTAGACCTGAACTTTACTCGGTGACTTGGTTATGTGCAGTGAATGACCGCTGTGTGTTTACTGTTGGGGAAATCATCACTGATAAAGATCCACCAGGATCCATAAATATTTCATGTGAAAACATACTGTTGTCCTTCTCTATGAAGCCCGTTTACAACACACACTAACATAGGCTATCTGTTACTATTCATTTATTTCCCAAGCTGCAGTGTTCTATAGACAGACATTGACAGTGTGAAAGAGGAAATAGCCCCTAGCAATACTGAATGCAGATGTTAATCAATCTAACATGTAAGCATTTTAGTCCTAATGGTTTTCTTTTGTCTTTTGTTAGATGGTTTATGTAAAACACCTTACCAGCTTTATCATCATTTGCATAATATGTCAAAGTCAACAGAGAATTTCTTTGGCCTGTGAGCTGTGACATGATTGCTTTTTTAGGCTATAATTAGCAGCTTAAAATGAATCAGATGTTAATAAACAGGAGTAACAACACTTTCTTTGCACTTTAGGTGTATCTGAAGCCACATTTCACCTACAACCCTGACACAGATAATCTGATCCCTTGTAAAGAGGCGGGTTTGGCTTTCTCTAAAGGAGACATTCTGCACATAGTGAACAAGGAGGACCCCAACTGGTGGCAAGTGAGAAGCATATGAGTTGTATTTTTTTCAGATCTTTCTTTATTTGATTTCTTTAATTGCTGAAATATTTGACATATCGAAGCTATGTAGTTTCTGTTGTTGTTTAGGCATGCAATATAAACGGAGGCCGCACTGGCTTGATCCCCAGTCAGTTTCTTGAGGAAAAGAGGAAGGCGTTTGTAAGGAGAGACCTGGATGGATCAGGTACAGAGGTTTAAGGAATGTTTCTTTTTTCATTTTAAGTCTAGTTATGGACTAAATTATTTTAAGGTTATATCAAAGTTCCTTCTTATTGCATTTATGCTGTAAACAAAGTTCCACCTGTGGGTTTGCTTTAGGAATCCTCTGCGGGACATTAACTGGAAAAAAGAAGAAAAAGAAAATGATGTACTTGACAGCGAAAAATGCAGGTTAGATTTGCAGGGGTTCTTTGTTATTAAGGTTTAATCTTTCAAAAGTTTGGTGTCACTTTTTTTTTTGGCAAGGTTAGGTTAAATTGATCAAAAGTGACAAATGTTTTGTAACACTAAATGTATTTACTATTTCAAATAAATACTGTTCTTTTGAACTTTCTATTCTTCAAACAATCCTGGAAATAATGCATAAAGGGTTCCGCAGAAATATTATGTTCAGAGTTGTGCTGCTTAATAAGAAATATTTCTTGAGCATCAAATCAACATTGTTTTTGAAGGGTCATGTAACAAGTAACATTCAGCTTCGTCATTACAGGAATTAATACAATTTTTAAATATATTAAAAGTTGTAGTAATACTTTTGATCAAATAAATGCAGCCTTGGTGAGCATAAGTACGGAGACTGAGAGAGCTCAACATGCTGCAACTTAAGAAAACATATGCAAATAGAAAAAGCACCAGCAAATTAAGAGAACATCTTCATCAGTTTGACAACACGTGTGCTGCAAATACTCACAACACAACCAAATACAGAAACGCGCTGTAAATACTCGCAATGCGACCAAATACAAAAAAGCATTGCAAGTAGCACAGACCACAATGGAAATGTTTCAAGGGGAACCCAACAACCTGTACCAAAATGAACCATGGTTTTATTATAGTAAAAGTGTAGTGACTTTTTTTTTTTGGCATATTGATTACCATTTGTATAACCACAGTTGTACAAATACCATGGTTAAACTATATAGTTAGTGTAGCAAAACCATGGTTAATTTGTGCTTACCATGTTTTAACTATAGTAGTTGTTGTTGTTTTTTATTTAAATTTTTTTAAGTAAAACCATGGTTAATTTTCATAGGGGAAGTTGTGAAATTTAGCTAGCCAGATTACATAACACTTCACAGTTACAGTAATTGTGTATTTCGTCAGCTTATTTAGGCTAATGATATGCAGAAAGCTAAGGAATCATATGATCAGCTAGGATGTTAAAATAAACAAAAATCTCACCTTTCAGGGCAGACATTGATAAACATGTCTCAGACAGGGTCGTCACTTGTTGCAATTCCGTTAAACATTCCATTGTGGTCTGTGTGTATTTACAGCGCGTTCCGTGTTTGGTTGTGTTGTGAGTGTTTGCAGCACATGTGTTGTCAAACTGATGAAGATGCTTTCTTAATTTATTGGTGTTTTTTCTATTTGCATGTGTTGAGCTCTCTCGGCCATCATACATAAGAAACTTCTTTCAAAAACATAACTTGATTCTTATAATTAAAAAAAAAACTTACCGACCCCAACCTTTTGAATGGTAGTGCAAGTATTTTTATTTTTTTAAATTAACTTTCAAAACTTCTCTCTTTCTAATAGAATTTGATCGCCATGAATTACAGATCTATGAGGAAGTGGCAAAGATGCCTCCATTCCAGAGAAAAACTCTTGTGCTGATTGGTGCACAAGGAGTGGGCCGCCGAAGCCTCAAGAACCGCCTGATTGTGTTGAACCCACTGCGATATGGAACTACTGTACCTTGTGAGTCTATAATCAACATTGGTATTGTTAATTATTACGTTAATAATTAATACAGTTGTCATTTTACCAATAAAAAGTCTCACTCATCAGAATTTCATCTGTTTCTCAGTCACTTCTCGGCATCCACGTGATGAGGAAAAGGACGGCCAGTCGTACTGCTTTGCGTCCCGGGAGGAGATGGAGACAGACATCAAGGCAAGTCGCTACCTTGAGCATGGAGAATATGACGGCAATCTGTACGGAACCAAAATCGACTCCATCCATGAAGTGGTTCACACAGGACGTACTTGCATACTGGACATCAACCCACAGGTGCGTGGTTTTGTGAATGACAGACAAAAACAAGAAGTTTAAGCAAGTTAGGTTTTGGTATTGTACTGTATATTGAAATCTGTAATAGAACATAGTCTTTACATATTAATAGTTGTTGAGAATGTGCTAAACTACCCGTTTTCATAATCATGTCCAGGGATTCCTAAACTTGTCAGTGAAACCTCTTTGAGATAAAATATTTACTTAAAGGATCCCTGAGATTATAAAGCTGTAATGAAATTGAAGTAGCGACAGATCTTTTCTTCCATATTGTGATGTACATCCAACTGAAACCTATTACTGGAAAAGGAAAAAATGTAGGACAGGCACTTGGTTCTATCCATTGTTTGTTGATTGGATGAAATAAGAGCTGAATGTGAGTTTGCAGTTGATTTTAAGAAAGGGGCGGGGTTGAAAGCAGCACTATGTAACTTTTGGCGCTCTAGCGGTTAATAAACAGAACTGCACATATCCTGCGGAAGAACATTCCAACCGGAGCTACTTCTCTAAGTTTGTCTATGGTGATTCATGCAGGTATGTGTTACTCTGCAGCGGTGACGACCCGACCAGGCTACAATAGTCCAAATATAAGTACTTATTATAAGTGTAACGTAGTGATTTGGAATAAGACAAAAATGCGGTTTGGAAGATGAATTCATGATGTACTCGCTCATTTATATACATTTTGCAAATTTTGAACACAGAAAAAGTTACATATTGCTGCTTTAAGTAGGCTAAATGAATGGAGAAGTGGTTGGAAAAAAAACATACATGGATGAATCATTCACAGTATGATCAGTAACATGCATTTGCAAAATGGTACACTTTCCTTTTGTAGTGACTTAATAGTAAATAAGTTAATTAAGTATACAAAGTATTTTTTCCCCAAAACATTATTTATTGAGCTTTTTATAACCTCACGAACCCTCTGCAGTTTTCTCAGTTTGGGAAACCCTAAAGTTCTGGTTCTTGAGGACCCCTGACACTGCACATTTTTAGATTTATATAAAAAAAATGATACAGCATCTTAAAAATGCAATGCTTATTGTGCAAGAAAATGGGAAAAGATCTGTCTCTGAACACTGCCATCTGAACTCTGGTGCAGTTTGAATGAAATATGAACGTAACCCAGACCAAAGAGATGTAAACAAACCAAAAACAGGACATGTCACAAGATGTGACACTAACAAGGATAGAATGCTCAAGCAGACCTGTTTTTCATATAGTCGCGACGTTGCCCATCAAAGCTCGGGACAGGCATCAGAGCCACGTCTCCTCGCAGCTTCACCTGTGTGTGTGTGACGGAGGGATTCCTGCCACTGTTCTGACTCCTTTACACATTTTATATGCTCTTCACGAGTTCTCAGCTGGTCAAAATACCATCATATGGAGGCTACGAACATACAACGAATGCATTTAGCCCAAAACAAAGCATTGTTTTGGATGTTCGGTATGTTGCGAAATCTGTCATAAAAGCCGACCAATCAGGTTGTGAACGTATCCCTATGCCTTTAGGTTCAGTATTAAAATGCCAATGTGAATGCTAAGCGGACCAGGACTAAATGTTTTTTTGTTTATTTTTTGTCCGGATCAAGCAAACCGAGCTACACCCTAAAAGTTGATTACTTTAGAAATGCATGGTCTAATAGCACAGCACAGTGTCAGCTTTTTCTCAGAGAAGGTGCCTGTCTTAATTTATCCATTTAAGCACCAACACTAAAAAAAATCACTGATTTACCTGATAATCGAAGTTGTAATTAGGTAATTACAATGTTATAAATGTGAAAGTATGGGTGAAGATGAATAGATAGTCTGTGTGCTGTAGTCATCAATGCAGTCCAGACATGACTTTATAGTGAAACATTTCAAAATTCAGAGGGTTCGCAACTAGATGTTGATCTGGTGGTGAACTCAAGAATGATTGCCTAATGTTTTTTAAATGGTCTCGGATCAGTGTTATAATGTATTGAGCGCTTCAGAACAGTGAATCGTTTGGTTTAGTTGATTCGGAGCTTCAAAAAGCTTTAGTTTCTCCCATCACTAACAAAAAGACTTTATTTGATAAATGTGCTCTGCAGGCACTAAAAGTACTGAAGACATCAGAGTTCATGCCATTCGTGGTTTTCATTGCCGCCCCAGAGCTCGAGACACTACGGGCCATGCACAAAGCTGTGGTGGATGCTGGGATCACAACCAAGCTACTGACGGTCAGCCTCATTTCGGTTTAACAAATTCACTTTCTCAATTTTTTTCCCCAATAATGTAGAAACATTAGAGAGTTACCATAGGCTCTGAGATTAAGTGTAATTACTTTTCTTTTTGTCTTTTTAGGAAACGGACCTAAAGAAAACCGTGGACGAAAGTGCCAGGATCAAGCGGGCATACAATCACTACTTTGATCTGACTATAGTTAATGACAATCTGGACAAGGCCTTTGAGAAGCTGCAGGCAGCTGTGGAGCAGCTGGCCACACAACCACAGTGGGTCCCTGTGAACTGGGTTTACTGAGACGTACAGCGGTCCAGACACCCCATCATCATCATCATCGGTGGCACAATGATAGGTCAGCGGCACAGAACACAAGTTCACATTCAACGGACCCACCAGTCACTATGCAAATGTACACTAGCCATCCGGTCACGACAGACATAAGGGAAGTGTACTTATTTATTTACATTTTTTTTATTTTCCACTGACTAAACTTAAATAGTTGGAGGGAAAAAACAAATAGGATTTGTTTTTTTATGAATGGCTTGTCATTAAAAAAAATAATTTTCCAAATAAGTATAAGCTGCATTATAGTATTTAAATCAGGGGACTGTTTTCTTACTGTAATTTTAGTGTGACATGTTGGTTTACAGTGCAGGATTCATCTCACATCTCCATCTTTCTGAAACGTGCTATCATACAGTTCAGTCACTACAGTATGCCAAATTATTTAAACAGCTTTAGATTATCCAGCTTCTGACTGGATAATCTAAGAGTGTCATCCTGTTTTCCTCTTTGATTTCATTTGAGTTACATTCAAGGAACGCTAGGAGTAAGCCAAATTTGACTTTTATAAGTATCACAATAGCACTTTATTTTACAGTCCTGTTTTGTACGTACTGTAATAACTAGGTACTAATCCTGAACCTAACCTTAAAGCCCAGAGTATACTTTAGTTTCGATGCAAATGCTTAAAGGGGTAGTTCACCAAAAAAATGGTCACTTACTCACCCTTGCGTTGTTCCAAACCTGTATGAATGTCTTTCTTTTGTTAAACATAAGATATTTTAAAGAATGTGGGTAACCAAACTTTTGTTGGTCCCCATTGACTTCCATAGTATGGAAAAATACTATGAAAGTCAGAGGGGACCAGAAACCATTTGGTTACCCACATTCTTCAAAATATTATCTTTTGAGTTCAGCAGAAGAATAAGAAATTCATTCCGGTTTGGAACAATGTGAGGGTGAGTAAATGATGACAGAATTTTCACTTTTGGGTAAACTATCCCAGATGTGAACTACTGCTTCATCCCATTTGCTTTTTATTTTTCTTCCCTACTGAGACTGTGCAGAACAAATGTGCACCTTGTGGATAAACTAATTAGTGTGAAAAAGTTTCTGACAGATGCTGTGCCCCCTATTACATAGTATGCAAAAAACAGTCTGCAAACAATAGTATTACGTCCAAATTTTTGAATGGTTGCAAAGTAAATTCCAGTTCAAATTTCAGATTTGCATAATTTCTGCCCACGTTCTACGTCGCCAACTTGCCCGCCCACAAACAGTCAAATCTCCGTGTGGTTAACATCATGTCGAGAAGACGATGTATCCTACGCTGTGAGAGTAAATTTGTTTCATCACATCTTATAATTACCACAAACTTGTTAACACTTGACACTTACCACTAAGAAACGTCGTGCTTGCGAATCGAGACTGATGATGAAACGGTTGTAGTTCAACCGTTTCATCATCAGACTCCGGCTCAAATTGGTAAGGTACAATCGATACCATCTTTTCTATGTATTGACAAGTCTCCAGGGTTGTCATTCCATCATGGCAATGGGCGTTTAGTTTCCGACATGCGCTGTACGCGGTAGACCAATCAAGAGCTAATATCTCTACAGCTCTGGACCAATCACAAAGGACTGCGCCATCTGACCAATCACAGCAGTGAGGGCTCACGGAAAGGAGGGGTTTAGAGAGACTGATTCTTTGAACTGCTTCGCACGAGTCGTTTACGAATCATTTAGAAATGAGGTAAAATTAAATAGTTTTTTTAAATAGAGTTTTTGTTGTAAACATGTATGTAAACATGTTTTAGGAGGCTCATAAAGCAATGTTAGCAACCTTAAAAATGGCATAATAGGGGCACTTTAAATGAGTTGCATCTGTCTCTTAACTGCCTCACACAAGTGCTTGTCACAACACCGGTGGTTATTGTTCTCGAGTAATTTGTTGTTTGTTGTCATTCATTTCTTTTTGGACTGTGAAACAACGTCCCAGGCCAGTGTTGCCACCTTATGGACAAAGTAATTAGTGCAAAAAAAATTCAAGGCCCATGCGGGAGCTGTGTAAAGTACTGCAAACATACTATACTCAGCAGTATAATGAAGTATGCTTTGAGCTTAAGGGTTGGTTCACGCAGAATTAAGTTTTTGTGTTCCACTGCGCTGCTTTTTAATCGTTATATTAATGCTTCCCACTACTTTTCAGTGTCTTGTTTTGGTCAAGTTGAAAATGCTCAACCTTGGCTGATTATTCCGTTCATCAGCACTGCACCTCTGCATTTGGATGTATTTACACCGGTGGTTATTGTTCTCGAGTAATTTGTTGTTTGTTGTCATTCATTTCTTTTTGGACTGTGAAACAACGTCCCAGGCCAGTGTTGCCACCTTATGGACAAAGTAATTAGTGCAAAAAAAATTCAAGGCCCATGCGGGAGCTGTGTAAAGTACTGCAAACATACTGTACTCAGCAGTATAATGAAGTATGCTTTGAGCTTAAGGGTTGGTTCACGCAGAATTAAGTTTTTGTGTTCCACTGCGCTGCTTTTTAATCGTTATATTAATGCTTCCCACTACTTTTCAGTGTCTTGTTTTGGTCAAGTTGAAAATGCTCAACCTTGGCTGATTATTCCGTTCATCAGCACTGCCCCTCTGCATTTGGATGTATTTGCGCGACCCCTATAGTTTTTTTTTTTTTTTTTGAAAGCAAAAGCCTGTTCTGTGTGAACAGCCCCTAAACCTAATCTTAACTCAAGTCCAATTTACCTTATATTACTTAGTACTTTATGCAAGTAAGTGAATGTACTATAAAATAAAGTGGATCCAATATCATTGTTTCAATTTTATCGTTGCAGAATTATGAGCTTAAGTCATTGTGTTGCTTGTAATGTGCTAGTATACAGAATCAGCTAAATGCCTTTTACACAGGCACAAAATCACATTCACACATGGAATATAGACCAAGTGTCTTGATCACAAGCTACCTGGCCTCACAGATTTAACCTGTCATCTAGCTGTATTGTGATGTACCTCTGTCCCTGGTGACTTGCTCCAGTGTCTTTTTCAAGGCTTTGTAACTCAGATTTTTATCCAGCTTACTTATTCACTTGAAAATTCTATATTTTGTGATACAGAGAGTTGTATTTTCTGAAATTAAACGGCTGTCTAATAAATTAATCTTAATTTTGGATCACTTTATTTGAGATTCTTTTTATTTTCTGGTGTGCATATGATTGTTCTCCTTTAGTTTAGATGGCAGGAAAGTGGGTTCAGGAAATTACAAAACTGGATAAAATATGATGTAAACAATTTATTGTGCATTTTCACAAGAGTGTATGTCCACTTTAAAAGGTTTGATAGTGAAGAAGTGCTTTTAAAAAAAATATTTATTACAAATATTTAAAAACACTTTCTAAATTATTACTGTTTTCACTGATGTCATGCATAAAATAGCTGAAAGGCCACTTAAGGATCCTTTTTTTTTTTTCCCTTCTAGTCCCAGTTTGTAGATTGTCCACTCACAGGCTTTAGTGCCCTTTGGTCCTCAACTTACAGCAGGTATTTTGGCTTTGCTGTTGTACTCCATTCAGACAGGGGGCGCTAAAGATGCCAAGCCTTGAACTGCAATGCACAGCATGAGGGGATGGCGATCCTGTGGGTTGCTGATTTTTGTAACAAGTGAATCCTTCTCCTTAAGCAGTGTCACGTTACAGGAAGCAAAGAGTGATGTAATCTTCTTGAAAACCTTCTCATCGGTTAACGCAGCCAGAGCAGCATCTTTCAGAGAGGACTTCTTATTTAGTCATATTTTGCACCTGCAGGACAATGGACACGTCATATAGGCAGAGAAATGAAGCTCTGTTGCTTACATGTACAGAGCTGCTCCGTTTGTTGTCCTACAAGCCAGAAGATAATTAGCATGCTCAAGTTAATGATTTCCCTTAGGAATTTTCTGAGTTTTATAATGATGGCTCTGGATTTATGAGTAAATTAAGGCCTGTAGTTCACACCACTTAACTTTTGCGAAGCTTGCCAACAAAACAAATTCTGTCATTATCACTATTCAACTTGTGTGTGTCTTGTTGATATGTCCTTGAAGATTAACTAATGAACTGTGCTAGAACCACCAAATATTATACCCATTTAACCTTTTTTTGTTGACACCCTTTAAAGTCATTGTGTAATTTACACACATCCTCAGGAATTCAACCTGTTTTGTGCTTTCAAACCATATGCTACCATTCAAATGTTTGGGGTCTGTAAGATTTTTGTTGGACTGTTTTTGAAAAGTCTTTTATACTCACTAAGGCAGCACTTATTTGATCAATAATTTATTCCTGTTATGTCAAAGCTGAAATTTCAGCATTACTCCAGCCATTACATTCACATGATCCTTCATAAATTATTGTAATATGCTGATTTGGTGCCCAGAAAACATTTACTTGAAATAGAAATCTATTGTAACATTATAAATGTATTTTACTGTTACTTTTGATCTATTTAATGCACCCTTGCTAAATAAAAAAAAATAATTTATTTAAAAATCTTACCCAAACTTTTAAACCGTTGTATAAGTTGCTAAATAAGCATTACAATTGATTGTATGACTCGTGTGAACTCGCATCCAAATTTCAGCAATTGGTTAGCCACTTAGATCCATCAAATGTCACATCTGAGTTATGGCACTGTAATTTATGTTGCAAAACAACATGTGAAAGTCTCTTTAAATAATGTTCCCCACAAGCATTTGTGACCTGTGCTGGCAAAATGAGTCGGAATGAGCACATTTTCAAAAATGAGTTTGAATCATTTTCACATTCTACATTAAAATACCTTCAAAATAATATATAACTTGTTGGAATCAGACAAAAAAATGACTGATCTACAGCCGTTTGAAGGCGATAGAGTTGGCAAAGTAAATTGAGAAAATCGAGTTAAAGGGGTCATATGATGCGATTTCAAGTTTTCCTTTCTCTTTGGAGTGTTACAAGCTGATTGTGCATAGATAATATCTCTTTGGTGTTGAGACTTTAGTCTTTGCAACTTCAGGGATCTTATTTCTCAAAGTTAAGACTGCCACGCACCCCTAAAACGGCTCGTTCTAACACGCCCCCACATATCTACCTCACTATGTGGAAATATTAGCATAATGCTGCCCAAATGTGCACGCAAAGAAAGAAGGCGTGGTTTCAGTAACCGCAGTTAGTGTTGAAGCAGCCATGTCAGAGAGACGCTGTGTGTTTCTAGGCGAAAGCAAAAGCACTTTATTTGGCCTTCCGAAAGTAGATGCATTTAGGAATCTTTAAGATGACTTACAACAGAACAGCAATGCATTTTATGGACGACCGTTTCGTGAACCTAGGAGAGGAGGTAATTCTGACTTTGCTATGACAATCTGGCGCTTCTGAATCAGCTACTGTTTTGTTATTAGTTTAAGTATTTGCTATTGACTGTTCAAATGCGGAGTTTCTGAAGATTCCAAAGCAAAATCATCAAGCAACGTTGCATAATTCTTTTCTTGGGAATAATTACTATATTATAAATCACAATGTAGCTGTTTTTTTATTTTATCTTTGTTATTAAAAATAAGAACAAAGATGCAAACAGTCGTTTAATCAAGAGCAGCAAACGATTCCGTATTTTCTTTTAATGTTTGATTAATATCAAGACCGATCAATATTTTGACCTACTGTAATGCATAGGTCTAATATGTTACACATCAG